AAAACGAACGGATTAAAACGCCTTATCGCTTCTATTCGAGTGTCTTTAAATTTTTGACAAAGCTGATGAAATGTCATCTGGGTGGAATGCATGTAAATAGTTTTTGTTTTCGAGCAAATATAGAGGAATGCCACTTTTCCAATAGTGATGTCTAATGTTAATTCGATTTCCCAGAAGTCGCACCGGGTTGTTTTCGTGCCATTCGACAAGTGTTTTTCTTATTACCGAGATCGATCACGATCAGATCGATCGATGTTGAATTCTTCTTAAATCTCATTAGACCTCTAAGAGTTCTTGTCTATAAACTTTTTTCCACTACTATATTAGTTAAGTGTAAAGGACAAAGTTCTCGACGTTTACCAATCCCTGAGGGATTCGCCATGCATTCGACTTTATTAAGCACCATTTGGAGCTGATTGAATGCATATCTGGCCTTTACAACGACTCGCGGTGCCGTACCGATGTGTCGAGCCACTGCTGCTATCCTCCCAGACAAGTTACCACTCGTGTGTTGCAGGGCGCCTCCGACCAATGCGCCGCTTGAGGCCAGCTTAAGAGTAGATCTTTATAAAGGTTTTATATTAATGGAAATGATAAAAATTTTTGCTATTTCGTCGGTTTGGTCGTCATTTATTTTTCCAATTAAAACTTTATGCATCTTAACCCTTTTATTTACTGCCTTGTTCTTTTTAATGGCAGGGTATGTTGCGAAATATAACTCGTATATAATGCTGAGATCTTTGCATTATACATTATAACTAAGCCTCAGCTTAACTGGGTTCAATGCCGATTTGGGTTCCCCAGATCAATTCCGTTGACGGGTGATTGCTGATGACAAAAAGATCGATAGAACTAGCTGAGAGACTGGCAAAACGAAGGACCGGGATGGTGTGGTGGTGGTGAAGTGCGATGCTCCCAGGCAAGGACAGCAGCGCGTGTTCGTTCCCCACCGCATACACCTGCGGTCCGGAGTTTTGCAAATGTCTCAGCATTATATACGCTTTATGCATCGTTAGTAGAAATCAAAGTGAGTAACGCTGAGGAGATTTTTAGCATCATTCAAACACCGTCACCTATGACACTATGAAGAGAAAGACGGCGTTCCGGAGAATCTTTCCGTGTAATAATATTTCCATCTCAAAACTTTTATCTGCTTTAGAACTTCACATGATACTTTTTTTAAATGATCGAAATCTTCTCAGTCACAATAATATTTTGGTCTGTCTGATCGCATTTGCTTAAACTGAAGTCACTATCAATGACGTCAGGTTTTCTTTGTGTTTAGATCCCGAAGCTTAATGGGGTTTTTTCAAATGAAGCTGCACAATCACACGCACCAGGTGGTACCATAATTTTCTGTTTTTATCTGTTTCTGCACGCGCGTTTCTTCCAACGTCAGATCTGATGACAATCTTTTGCAAACCGGGGACGATGAAGCTGACGTTCGTCTTGGCGGCGAAATTCTTTAAAATGAAGCGCTTGTAGGAAACAGATGATATGCTTTTCATCTTCAGCCGTCCGTTTCTTCATCGAACACTTTCTCAGAGTTTTCATTCATAACGCATTCGTATCTCAATAAGGGTCCTATCGTTTGTCATCACTTTTAATTTTACTGTAGTTTGTGGTATTCATTGAAAAAAGACGAGCGACATTCACTCCATCAGAAAACGTCAGTGTATGAACGGATGCATATAACGTTACTATTATCTTTCTGTATAATTTTTCTGGACGAGCACTAACAGCTATCCGGTTTTTATCATGTATTCATCTTGGTCGGTGAATCGTTGCGCCGGCTTCAGCAGAGCCTGCTATGTTGTCAGGAAGTTCTTCGTCGATCGGGGTCGACTGTCATCGATCATCGCCAGTGTCGCTGTTTGCTTTCATCCAATTTGTTCAGCAGTTGTTCTCTTCTATTAGGTGTTTCATGAAACCAGTCTATATTGTCATTCTAGAAGCGTTTAAACCTTAAATGACTCATTGAATTGTATCTGTTCTATTGTCTTTGGAAAAACGATCCTGTGGAATTTTGCTTCCTTAATGATTTTCCCTTTGTGCTGGCTTCCTGTTCCCACATTTAAAGTGTTGTTCTCTTATAGTCTTTAAGCATTTCTTAAACAACCACTCAAGTTTTTTCTTACGTCGCCAAAGAATAGCGTACATCATTCGACTGACTAACGTGCTTAATAAAAAAAATGATTGATTAAATAGTGAAAACTGGTTTAAAAACTTTAGTTTGATTAGCTTATTCAGTCCACTTTTTCTTCCTGCGTCATCTAATAGGTGCGCAGATTTTTCATATAATAACAGAATAGAAGGTGCGTTTGGCGCAGTGGTCAGAGGCGCCCTGCAACACACACATGGAGTCGATTCCAGCGTCCATGGCTCACCAAGCCCTCCATCATTCTGGGGTCGGCGAATTGACACCGAACTTGTCTGGGAGGATAGCATCACTGGTTCGAAACATCGGTATGCCACCGCGAGTCATTGTAAAGGCAAGTCATGCATTCAGTCACCTCCAAACGACGCTTAGTGGAAGTGGAATGCATGACGCATTCCTTAATGTTTGATCAACGCCGAGAGCTTTATCCTTTATCCTTTATAATCACAGAATAAAAATAATGAGCAGCGAATACCATATTAGTTTAGAAATCATGCTAAGTAGTTGTGACAACAGTTGTTTACATGAGAGCCTTAATCGTTTCGCTGTCCAACACTACTTCAACTGCTTTCATGCGCTGCTCTTATGAAAAACCATCGTGAGCCTACGAATGTCGTGTTAACGAGCCATATTACCAAATTCGCCGTCGTATATTTCGTCTTCAATACATACGTTGTTGGGAATAATGAATTTTCTTCCTGATCGTCTCTTTTCGGAAAGAACTCTCTCTGAGTATTCTTCTTTTCCACGGTATAGATAGAACTCCAGCCATTGCCCAAGGAAAGAAAAACCACTTTATGTATCAACTTAAATCACCTTGAGAAGATCACAACTTAAGAAATGAGTAAGGCAGTTGTTTAGATGGGGCTGTCCATTTCCATGAGTTGATGTCGCTATATTGCTGTTTACTATACATAGTGAGTGTTGACGACGCTAGATATCTATTTGCTCGTTGACGTACTTTTAGACCATGCGAATTGAAATTGCAAGTGTGTCGTCGCGAATAATCAGTTCTGTTCGTGGTTCCACATTGAAACGGCTTTTTTCCGAGCAAACAAAATGTGGAATCAGTACGAGAAAGAAGAAAACAATGGTTTTTGTTGGACTATAATGTAGAAGGCTTAATATATCCCTTCAAATATGCGATATTGTTTGTCCCAAAACCATAAAAGTATAAATAACTAGTCTTCTCTAATTAACACCAGCGTTTACCGAATATGATTAAATTCCGAATAGTAATCTAGACGTTAATCAGTAATATTACTAAATTAATAATATTAGTAATATTACTTGGACGGCCCATCCTCACTGGTTGTGCGGATCCCAGCATAATCTCCATTTTTTAGAGATTTGTTGGTTAAGCCAATATGGTTCCCTGGAATCCCGAGGTCAGCCTGGCCACAAAGTCTGCCTCAGATCTTCATCACCACGGGCAGTCGCAGACTTTCTGGATCAAAGGGAGATTTGCCACCATGCGACTTTGATACTAGGACGGTGGTGGGTCCCGGTATTGGTTTACTCTTAGCAAGGTTTCCTGATGGAAACGTGGAACTCGTTCTTAGCCTACTAGACCCTGCCAGGGAATAATTCTCCCCGCTGTTAATAATTGTTAATCGATAATCGTTGAAGAAATCAGTGGAACAGGCAACTATTATGGAATAGTGATAGCTGTCGTATAAGCTTAAAATGCTTCTATAGTTTTTTTGAATTTTGTTTCTCCAGGAAAAAATGTTCGTTAATGAAAGTGATGACTAAAAAGATGTTTGTTCTCAACGAAAATTCAGTTTTATTTTAAAACGAAATCGTTTTATCAGTCGTATTTCACTACATTCGTGAACTACTTGCGTATTCAACAACAACGATGCTGAGATATTCACAAAACTTGGACGCCGGGCCAGATCGAACCACAATTTCTCTTTCCGGGATCTCGCGCTGTTGTACATTACGCACTGCCCCATGGATGCCCTTGCTCTACGTTTCTCTGAGCTAGTTTTCTGTCTATCAGCACCACCGGCAGTCATCCGTCAACGGGATTGATATCGTGAGCCCACATCGGCACTGAACTCAGTTAAGCTGAGGCTACAGTTAAAGTGCTATTACTGCTGAAATGCTATACTTGCGTATTCTTGACGACTTAGTGATATTTCGTCAGCAAATGATTGTATTAACCTACTTTATTTATGTAGTTGATCCGTTGTGATCTTTCAGTTCTCTTCATAACTTTAAAAGTATCGTTTTTTAGTAGAACCTTGGCAAAAGACCAACTATCTTATTTGAAAACATGAACCACTTCTTTCAGAATATCGATTTACTTACAGGTGCAAAAATGTCTGGAAACCACTTTCACTGCTTTTTCTTCCTTTTTTTATTCGATTTTCGATTCTTCTCCTATTTTATGGAATTTTTCGTGAAAAAATTCATCGTAAGAATGTTCATCTTTTTACGTCATCTCGCGCATGTGCTTGTGTTTCTGCTCTATTCGTCGCATTCCTTCATTTACACATTCACACACATAGCGCTGCTGGAAACGATGCCTGGAGGCGTACCCAGCAGCTTTCTGGAAGATTCTCTGGAAGAACACTAAAGAATCGTTCAATTTTCTGTTCTCTTGAGCATTTCTTTTCAAATATTTGAATATGCTATACATACTTCGTGTCCAATTTGTGCTAAGCGTTCGGAGTTGATGTGCCTCGCATTCGTTTTTCTTAAACTCCAACACCTTCAGTGCACGACATCGTTTCCATTCTCGTCCTAACGCTAGAGTTCTGCTTAAGAATTGCTTACAGCATAGTGGAAAGAAAATATAATATCATCATTTGCGTAGAGTCGATAATATGCGAAGAAAATCGTTTATCGACGAGTTGGCCGAGTTTGAAAATCCGTCGGCGTATATCCGAAAACTCGTACTACGGCCGGAACAAACCAAAACCGTAGATGAGATTATTAGACGAGTTCCGTTAAGACAAAATCGATGCAAGGTTTGTTCACTTCTGCCGTACTTTATCGTATTATACTGTGCAATCTGTTAAGAGTGTCGTTCTTGGTTAAGTCGATCGATCAATAAAGTCATGTTAGTTGTGCAAACACAGGGATAATGGTTTGATAAATTTCATATGTGAATGAGTAGACTTTAAAGAAGCACAGATGAGCAAGTGAACGAAATCAAATAGAATGTTTACTTTAAGGCCTCTGCGGAGAAATTCCTACTTCCACCTGTGAGAGCGTCGGACGTCAATAAAAAGTGCCTTATCATCGACCTCGATGAAACGCTAGTTCATTCTTCGTTCAAGGTATTTTCTGGTTCACATTTTTTTTCTGCATTCACTATCTTATTACTTTTCTTTCACTAGACATTTTCCATCGTTGTAATGTTTTATAATTCCCCCACATTTCTATACGCTCAAACTGCGTATCTAACACGGTGTTCATCTCTAAAGCACTCGCCAGTTTGATATTTCCACCTGAAAACCCACTCTAAAATAATTTATTGCCAAGAATCGTTGCTGCCATCCTGAAAAAAAAAACCCGCTCGCATTGTGGGAGCTCTCCCCGAAGGAAGGCAGTTCTCTTGTAGTGGTAACCTGAAAGAGCTGGAGGACGGCTTTTTTGATACTTCAGAGAAAGAAAGTCTTGCCTAACTAGGAAATTACCATTTAAATTTGTTAAATTTGTTGGTGTTGACGCGTTAATTCTCCAAGTTTAGAGGTTGTAAAATTGTTCAAGCATGAGTATTAACTAAATTTCATGCATATTTCTTTCAAATTTCTGCCAAAGGTGCTTTATCTTATGGTGGCATCATTTTGTGGCTTTCTTGGAAATATCTGGGCAAGAGGGTTCGTGTGGCCCAGTGGTCGAATTGTCTGGGAGGGTAGCAGCATTGGCTTGATGCATCGATAGACCACGTTGAGTCGTTGTATGTGCATTCATTCACATCCTGCGATGCTTAATGAAGTCGAATGCATGGCGCTTCCCTTAGGGATTGATCAACGCCGAGAGCTTTGTCCTTATCTTAACTCTTTTATTTACTGCCTTCTTCTTCTTAATGGCAGGCTATGTTGCGAAATATAACTCGTGTGAACATACCGCAACATACCCTGCCAGTAAGAAGAAAAAGGCAGTAAATAAAAGAGCTAAGATTGTGATTATAACTAAGCCTCAGCTTAACTGGGTTCAATGCCGATATTGGCTCCCAGATCAATCCCGTTGACGGGTGATTGCTGATGGCAAAAAGATCGATAGAACTAGCTGAGAGACATGCAAAGCGAAGGACCCGGATGGTGTAGTGGTGAAGTGCGCTGCTCCCCGGTAAGGACAACAGCCCGTGTTCGTTCCCCACTGCATACACCTTTGTCCTTATCATTATTATTATCTGGACAAACATTAGAGTGTGTCAAATACTGGAGACATATGCACAGTATACCACAATCATATGTACCAACCAACGTTTCTGATCGATGCGTTTTAGCAAAAATCTTTAGTACGTTTGTATCTAGTATTACGGATAAAGGATAAAGCTGTCTGCGTTGATCAATACCTGAGGGATACGCCATGCATTCGACTTCATCAAGTATCGTTTCGATGTTATTGAATGCATGTCTGGCCTTCACAATGACTCCCGGTAGCCTACTTATGCATCCATCCACTGCTGTTATCCTCCCAGACAAGTATGGTACCAATTCTCGTCGACATCGAAGGGAAGGAAGGCTTGGTGAGCCTGGGACGCGAGGATCGATCCCATGTGTGTATCTTAGTGGAGCCTTCAACCACTGCGCCACACGCGCCATAGTATTACGGATAAAGTATGAAATGCTAGTTGACCGGATAATATCTTGTTTTTATGCACGCCTTTACAAATTCAAGTGGGAAAACAAAAAAGCAAGGTTGTGGTGTAAAATATCCCAGTTTGCAGCTATGCCTTTTTTTATTTCAGCCAGTAAAAAACCCGGACTTTGTTATTCCCGTAGAGATCGACGGCGTAGTACATCAGGTGTACGTTTTGAAACGACCATACGTGGACGAGTTTCTCGCTCGAATTGGTGATCGCTACGAATGTGTCTTGTTCACCGCAAGCCTCGCAAAGGTAAATTGTAAATTTCAGTTGTAGTGATAGATTTTCTTTTCGGAGGTAGTTTTTTTTTCAAATCTCCTTTTCACCTAAAAAAAAACAAGATCGTGTTCTCAAGAGAAACGAAACGCACCGTCTTCCCATAATTGTGCATCGGTCAATTCGTTCTGTACGTGATACTGGACGAAAATGAAGCTTTTGACTCTTTTGACTTTGATCAATCGCTTAAGGGTAGACCATGCATTTGACACCACTAAGTGTCACAGTGATGGATTACGGCATGTTTACCGTACTTCCAAGTAGGTTTAATACCAGTTTCTTTGCTTCAGAGAGATTGTGGAATTTTTGCCATAGGCACGGGACCGAGCCAACGACCATGTGCGAGTGTTTTCGACAAGGCACCCGTAATACTACGCAACACGCGTCACTGTGCAAATGATATAGAATCGTTAAGAAGGCAATATGATATGAACAATGCGAATGCAATAAATTAGGGCCAAAAATGGTTCTGCGATTGTCTTGAAGTAACACGACACTGGCATTTTTTGACGGGCTGGACTGATTAGTGTTAAATCAGTTTTTGACAGAGAAATGGACGATTAAGGTTGTAGAGAATATTCCGCCGACAGTGGGTAATTTTCAGCAGAATGCACAATCCTCGTTCTGTGAATCCAGTGCTGCTGAGGTGACAACTGTATAGAAAAAGCGCTAAGAATATTTTTCAAATCGATTGAATTACGTTTTTGAAAGAAAAAAACAAAACGAAGACTCACAATCTGCTACTTCTTGACGAGAACCTCTGTACTACTAATCCTTGTTGTTTTCCAGTCCACTCTACTACTCATTTCCACCCAGCTTTTTTCTAACTTCACTAGTGCTTTCAAACTGTTTCCTACGTTACAGTTCCAATCACTCTATTTCACGCGGGAATCATACGCTAAATGTTCGGAACTAGCTTTTTAAGGTGAATAAAAGGACTGGTGAATCTCATTTCTAAAAACCCTCACAAATTTTAGAGAAGAGAAATTCTTTTCTATGAACTGTTGGTCCATTTTCTGCCGTTATCTCTTCGTATGCTATATTTATATAGAACTAAGTCATGCGAAAACTTGGGTACACAAGCATTCCATTCTTTGTTTAATTTCTCAATGGTTACGTTTTTCAGTACGCCGATCCAGTTGCTGATCTTCTTGATAAGTGTGGAGTGTTTCGATCTCGATTGTTTAGGGAGGCATGCGTCTATCACAAAGGAAATTACGTCAAGGTTGGTTATGCTTTCTCCTCAATCATTTCTGACAAACTATGGACCCTTATTAAGAGTATTTTGTAAAGTGGAACACTCGTACCCACAATATTGCTGAGATATTTGCTAAACTCTGGAGCGCAGGTGTCTGCGGTGGTTATCGAACATTACTTTTTCCGGGGCCTAACGCGTTCACCACCATACCATGCAGGCCGTTCGTTTCGCCTTTCTCTCAGCCATGTTCTATAGGTGCTGTCAGCAATTACTCGTCAACGGGTGTGAAACATTTGTTTTCAGGATTTGGCAAAACTTGGCAGGGATCTGAATAAAGTATTGATAATTGACAACTCACCTGCTAGTTATGCTTTTCATCCTGAAAATGCGGTAGGTTTTTTCATCTTTTTTTCTGATTGACTACACTCCGCTTTTTACCTCGAAACGTTCATTTTTCCTTTCGATTTTTTTGAAAAATGGTTCCCGTTTTGCAGATTCCGGTGCCGACGTGGTGGGATGATCCATCGGATGTTGAGCTGCTCGATATTCTGCCACTTCTTGAGCGTCTTGAGAAGGCCGATTCGATCTATGAAGTGCTGAAACACGTAGATCAGCAATCGCAGCCGTTCCTTGACCGAACGCAATAACGAAGATGTCGGACGTATGTTTAAGGTGACGTCCGCCGCTTCACTCTGTGATCTATCGCTCTTCATTAATCTCCTTTTCGCCATTTCGCTGACCGACAGTGAGTTCGATTCCCGCCTCTCTACCCAGGAAGAGCGACCGCCTTTTTCATGTTGCCTTTGCTTGACGTGCATTTGAAGCAGATGTGACGACGTCATTCGGCGAAAACACTTCAGAACTCTGAAGTTCGACGCAGCTGTCGTCGCTGGAATCGGCTTCATGCACATCGTTTCGCATTTGATGCGCTATACGTGTTGTATATAGCCCAGATAAGTGCAGAGTTATGTACATGTATATGTATATGATAGTTATCGATTAGCTTGGTTTTGTGGCTGTGATGCCGTACGTTCACCAAATTTCATTGACTAGTGCCTTGTGAAAAGATTCAATTAATCAAAGATATATAGTCTTAACCGTTGTAAAAGTGATTGTTTTAATACTATATATAGCCATATCTTCCCCATTGTTAATATTAATAACACCAAAGCATCTTCGGATGTTTCCCCTAATTTTATTTGTTCCTTATGAAAAGAATATCTGTAGAGAAATTTTAAAACCCGATGATATTAGCGAGTCCCTTAACAAGGTGTGTGTTTACCGGTGTCAAAACAATACATACTTGTTCTTTAAGCGTGTCTGAATGAATTTGAACGCTCAACATCTGTTACCATTTTATATCGTCCTCATTTAGAATCAATCTGTAATTTTCTACCAGTGTCCTTCAGGCTCGCAAGATTGTTATAGATTGAGAAGAACAAAGATCTTGACTGATAGAAGACAAATACAGCTGAATCCTTCTGGAAACTTGGTGAATTCTGGAAGAACAACTATGACGAGAAGATTTATCACCGTTTTCCTTATGGCAACGGTAAGCAATCGAGCATGGTATCTTGCTCTTGTTACCAAAATATCCTGTGTCACTTCGGTGTTGGGCTTCAGTGACAGTATTGAGTACTACTAGACTTCACTACCATTAAGACACCTAGTTGAAAAATGGATCAACAAGTACTGATAATCCCCAGCAGGAACATGAAAGCGAGAACATATCGATATAATTCTTATCTAATGTGTTCATCTAATAACGATGCCTACGAAGTAATGTGTCACGATGACATGCCGTTGCTTGTTTAAACAAAACACATCTCTTCCAAGATTTCCTTATTGTGCTTATTTAGCTCTTTTCTTAGGCTTATGGTGTTTTGCTGAGGTGATTTGGAGTTGTCAACACATTTACTGTACAGTGGCTGATTTTCCAGTATATTTTCTCTTCTGCCGAACTTGATGGGAATCCTGTGGAAATGCAGCTGGCTCGGTGAAACCTCACACCCAATGTAGAAAACCAGGAATCTAAATTCAACTTCGTCATACACTAAGCATGACACAGTCATTCTGGTAACAATATTTTCGGATGAAAATATGGAATTGGTCGGCTTATACCCTTTCCGTTGCGATAATATTCCTTAGAAAGCTTTTTCCTTTTTTTTTTGAGGCCCACCAATTGTGATGTGCAAACTGGGGTTCACGAACCTACAAAATTGAAGTACTGAAATTGAGCTTGTTCTGTGATCAGTTTGGAGAAAGCAAAAGCAAAATGATTGATTGTGTACGTAGTTGTTGGATCTGGTAGTACGAGATCTGGATGTTTGGGGACCATCTTTCCGTGCAGGATAAAATCACTACCTCTTTCATGGAGAATTCGATTGAACCGTGAGGTATAAAACTAATATTTATCCATCGTTCAAGAATAAAACAACTTAGATATGATGAAAATAATACGGTTGGGGTCGACGAGTAGTTCAATAAGTGAACTTGGTTAAACGTTGATTTGTGCTCTGCAAATCAGTCCCCTTTACGGGTGATTGCTCATAATATCGATTGAGTATAATAAGGCTGAGAGAAAGGCAAAGCAAGGGCTTCGGCTGGTGTGGTGGATAGCACATGGTCCTCGGAAAGGGTGATCCCGGGTTCGAAACCTAGCTGAGGATTAGAGGTCTGCTCGTACCTCAGCACATCATTTATACCGATTAGTGTTAATAAATGTATCGTAAGATCAGGAAATCAGAAAAGGAAGAATAGTACGAAAACATACGTTATTACTAAAAAAAAAAAAAAGCTCAGGTTGGACTGCTCCTTGCGCTAAGGAGTCCATATTGTTGAAAATTTATAGGATTCAATCAACATCAACTCTGTTCTTAATGTCACCCACACGAATCAGCGAATGCTAATGGACTTAAATGCACTGTCAGTATAACAGTAGATTAAAATTAGAATTGCTTTCTGAAATAGTTCCTATTTGAGAGTGCTGGTGTAGTTTAGCTACGAACACGCGTGTACATCATATGGGTGATCGTCCAAGGGGACACATGCCTTCTCTCGATTTTTTTCTTGACGCGGATGAAGCATCAGCTATCGTCTCTGCTGCTTAAACGAACGTTGAGAGGACTACTGAATAGGAAAGGTGAGCGCGGAACTGTGAATCGTCTAGAGTTGATCGGTAGCAACTTTGAGAGCCCCGAATGCGGCACATGTTATTCTCCTCCTTCTCTAAGAATACTCTTTCATTTTGTTCTCCATTTCCACTGAGCGTCCAAGGCGCAGGCACGAAGTGTCCTCTGTGATCAGAGAAGCATCCAATTGGATTTATTCGCCTTTTCAGTGTGGGTTCTTGTAAAATTTTTCGGCCTATTTATGTGCGATTCAATCTTTTCCTCTCCCTTCGAATCTACTCAGCCAAACACTAATTACCTCAGCAGATAAGACTGTATCACCTGTAGTCCTGTTGATCGCCGAGTGACTCCAGCGAGCGCCAGTAAATTTATCATTTTTCCCCGTAACGTGCAAGAGTAGCCCAGTGGGTTCTGGTCGCTCTAGAGACTCGTTGAGCATCATATCTTTCTTCTAGGCTCTTCGTGAAGAACTCGTGGAGGCTGGTGAAGAATCGGGTCGTTGGTCTTCCCGCAGTACGCTTGACATCCCGAGGAATTCAGTCACTAACGGCTCTTGTCCATCGGTTGTCGTGCATACGCATTATGTGTCCGGCCTACCTTATCTTCGAATGTTTGGCGTACAGAACGGTATCTTTGATTTCTGATCGTTGACGCAGGTCGGAGTTTCGGATCTCATCCCTTGCGTGGATCGGGATACTCCCAGCATCGTCCTTTCGACTGCGCGTTCGATAACGCTGAGTAATCTTCCATCCTGCTTACGCAGCGACCAGGTTTCTGACGCATATGTTAGGGCAGGAAGTACCGTTGAGTCGAAAAGGTGGGCACGGAGTCGGGTGTTCTTTGTCCTCTTCACTATATACTCGATACCTTAGAAGGCTCCCAAGGCAGCTCGTTTTCTTCTGATCAGCTCTGGAGCTAAGTTGTTTATCATATTAATTTCCGACCTAGATAAACATAACTGGAGCCGGAGATATTCTTTCCGTTGGAGGTGAATGGGGCATACGTAACCAATCCGTTCCTCATGAACATCGTTTTTGTGAGATTTAGTCGAGCACCAATATTTCCATAGGTTCTATCAAAGTCGGCAAGCATACGTTTCGCTTGGCTAATTCTTGGTATTATAAGGACGATGTCGTCAGCAAAGCGAAGATGGTGTAACTGCCGGCCGTCGATTTTCACTCCCGTATTATCCCATTCCAAGGGCGCGTGTGGTGCAGTGGTTGTTGGCTCCACTGCGACACACACGTGGAATTGATCCCTGTGCCTATAGCCCACCAAGCCTTCCACTCCTCCCGGCTCTGCGAAATGCTACCAGACTTGTCTGGGAGGATAGCAGCACTGGCTCGATACATCGGTAGGCCACCACGAGTCATTGTAAAGGCCAGATATGCATTCAATCACCTCTAACAATACCTAATGAAGTTGAATGCATGGCGCACCCCTGAGGGATTAATCAACGCTGAGAGCTTTATCCTTTATCCTTTATTATCCCATTCCATTATTCGGATAACTTTCTGGAGGGTGGCGGTAAATAATTTTGGCGAGATGATGTCGCCTTTCCTAACCCCTCTTTCGACATCAATGATAATATCGTTGTAGAATGGTGTAGAATAGTGATATTTTGGTTGTGAAATTTTTGTACAGCTCACGAAGAATCGTTATGTACTGAGCAGGGACTCCTTGGCTATCAAGGGCCTCCATGACTGGTTCTACCTCAGTTGAGAGAAAGGTCGTCTTTAAATCAATGAAAGTGGGACAGAGCGGTTTTTTGTGCTCTAGTGATACTTCAATGAGCCTTGCTATTGGTCCATCGTACTAAATTCTTTTCCAGACCCTGCTTGCTAACATGGCTGTCCTACGTCCAGCATCCTGTCAATCCTGTTTAGGATGACTCAAGTGAAAAGTTTGTAGACGAAAGACAGCAAGCAGATTGGGCGGTAGTTGCCGTTATCGTGCAGGTCACCCTTCTTGAACAATAACACGGTCTTGCTGGTCCCCACTGAGTAGGGACCTTGCATTCAGACAGGTAACGTGTGAAGAGCCGAGCCAGTGTATTTACGACGACTGGCGAAAGGTTCTTCACGTATTCTGATTTTATAATGTCCGGACCTGGTGCTGTTCGATTTTTCACCGACAAAATGGCATGTCGGATTTCGGGAGATGGAACCGGTGGTGCAACATATCCATCCTCCTTTATTTCAAATGACGGAAGGTGGACGTGGCTATTGAGGAAATTTGAGTAGTACTCGTGAATGTTTTCCTCCATTATAGCCCTTGCTAGCCGTAGAGTCTCTGCTTAGCGCATAAAGATTTTTCGCGATATTTACAAAAATTTCACAACCAAGAAATAGCCATTCTACACTAATCTACAACGATATTAACGTTGACGTGAAAAGAGGGTTTAGGAGAGGCGATACCATCTCGCCAAAATTATTTACCGCCAGCCTCCAGAACGTCATGCGAACATTGGAATGGGATAATATGGGAATGGAAATCGACGGTAGGCAATTACACCA